GGGACACCCAGCAGGAGGAAGGCAGAGGGATACAAGGCTGAGGCTGTGTGGTTCACGGAGGACATCATCCTATGGGGAAGTCTTGGAAGATACTCTGTTGTCTTCAGTAGTTCTGGGGAGACACAAGGGAATATAGGGTGGTGGGATAGTGCTATGTATAGTAGCATGTCAGTTACACCCCCAAACTGTAAAAGAAGTATGCTAGTGAGCATTAACTCAGACACTCAAAGTATTGACTATTGAATATTGAAACAAGATTGTGAAAGTTAGAAACCATGTTTTCTGGTGGTAATATGATATGATGATTCATGGTTGTCTTTAGCTCATTCTTTTGTTGATATAAATTATCTAATGAAAACCTCTCCAGTAACTAGACTCAACTACCTTGGATATTGCATTGAACAGACATAGAAGGAAAACTCTCTCAAGTGTTATGCAAATATAAGATTAGAGGAATTTAGGGGATTTATGGTCCAGAAGCTGTGCAATCATAATACAGTATGTCTCTCACAGTCCCTCCTCTCTAGGTGTTACTGTTCTCTCTCCCTGCCTAATGAATACTATCTTCACATCTTGCTACCAATGTGATTTCCTTATGCGTTGATTGATGAAGCAATTATTAGTATTTTTTAACATTTAAATATTTATCTTTTACAATACAATCAAATAATGCAAACTGTAATGTAAGTGAAAGCAGAGAAATATTTAATAAAAGTAAGCATCCAATTATGACATTTTAAAAACAACTTTAAATAAAGTAGATAAAAATAAAATCTGCTTGGTTTGATAAACACAAATACAGCTAACATAATACTGAATGGTTAAACGCTGATATTTTCCCCACAGGAATGAGAAAATGGCAATAATATCAATTAGCATTAATTGTATTTGACATATTACTGAAATTTCTAGCAAGCTCAATATATCAAGAAAAGAAAGATAAGACATCAGAATGGAATAAAAAGTTTTCTATTTATGAGTAACATGAACTTATGCAAACATTTAGAACTAACATTTAACATATCAGTGAGGCAGGAAAAAGAATCAATGAATTCCACATACTATTATCAAAAAATTAAAATTTGGTGAAACTTAACAATATATTTTATCATGCAATAGAATTTAAAATACTTAACAGTAAGCATTTCTATTATAGAAACTTGCAGGGAAATTACAAATTGTGTGTTAGTATATAGAGACACATAATCTGACATATAAATGTGTATACATATATATGTAAATACACATACCATATTCATTTGGAAGTTTGAAATATGTGAGGATGTTAATTGTTTCCCTGTTGGTCAAGATATTTATAATAATGTCAACCAATACTCATAAACTTGGACATAGCTTCAAATAGTGATAAGTTTAACCTAAGTTGATTAGAAGAACAAAAATTAGGGGCTAAGGATTAAATGATTTCAGACATAAAAAGTAAAGTACAAGAACATTATTTTTACACAATTCTGAAAAAAATAAATTAAAAAATTGAGCAGTAGACATATATATTTAATTTAATTTTCCAACCTTTATGTGTTTAACTTAATAATTTTCATAAAGGGACCAGTGTAGTGGTCAAATAAAGACAGGATGATCAGTTCTAAAAGTCAGACCGTGTTTTCTTTTGAATACTTTCTTCCCTATTCCCAACATCTATTGTATATTTTGGATCTTATTCACTTGTTCATTTTCTCACACTAGTGAGACAATATGATATTTATATATATGGGTCTGATTTATTTCACTTGTGAATATGGTCTTAACTGTTGTAAATGTCCTATTAATCTGATTTGAAACTTGGTTTCATTGTTATCTTTTATTTTCTCTTTAGAATAAAAAGAATAAAAGTCAGACAGTGAAACAGCTATGTATATTTCAAAAAGAATCTTAATTTCAACTTCCTAGTACATAAAAAATAATAATTATACCACTGATATAGGTAATGATTTTAAAACATTAAACTCTTAATATTTTTATAATTTTTGGTATCATCTGCAAAGAAATTGATTCTAAAGCATAAAGTGAAGTAATCATAAAACTAATTTATTATATATTATAAATTTTTAAAATTACTATTAAGAAGGGAAATTAGAATACACATGTGAGGAAATATTCAAAATCTCTATTTACAAAAATAGAATTTGCATTAACAATGTATATATATGCTTATAACTGAAATACAAGAGAAGCACACAAATAAGGAAAAAGAAAGAGGTTTAAATGACACTGGGTAAATGAATTATATAAATTATGTCAAAATTTTTAAAATCATTAGTTATAAGTAAGATACATTAAACAATTAGTGACATATCATTACCTATCCCCTACAATGACTAAAATTATAAAGCATATAACGCCAAATTTTGACACAGCTATTGAGCATGGGATTCTGTTCCAAACTATGTGAAAATCAAAATTTTTGGCCAAAATATTAAAAAATATCAAAAAAATCAAAAAAAATATCAAAATTTTGGCAAAATATAATAGTTTCTTCTGCATTTATCAACACACCAAGCCAAACCTTGAACACATCAATTGAATGCCAGTGGCTTACTCTGGAGAAAGAAAAGCACATAAAGATCTGTGCAGCTATGTCCATAACAGCTTTATTCATAACGGCTCCAATGTGCCCAACACACAAACACCGTCAATAAGGGAACGTATACTCAAATTCAGAATGTTTACATAGCAGATATTCACTCTTTAATACGGATGGATTAATTAATATAATGCAAATACACAAATTAATCTAAAGTCATTATGCTGAGTTAATGATTGCTACTGGTTCACAAAACATCATTGCTATATTATCTACCTATATTAAGTTCTAGAACATAAAATGGAATCAGAGGTTCAAAGTGTCAAGTGAATTGTCACCAGGGATTAATTCAAGGTTTTCCTGGAAAGGAACATCAGTGAGTGTTTTAAGGTAAAGAAAAAATTCCATGTCTTTGTAGTGGTGTAGAATACATAGGTGTACACATTTTTCACCTATGTAACCATCAGATTTGTGCATTAGATGTATGTAAATTTTATGTTAAAAATCAAATTCAATCATGGGAAATAGCAAGAAAGCTGATAGTTGTTTGAACTTGATGATGAGGGCGTATGATTTCCTATTTAACATGTGTGTTTCAGTGCTCCATAATAAGATGATATAAAGTATAAATCTAACCAAGAGAAGTGTAATCACACCATATCACATAAAATATAATTTCATAAAATATTCAGCTTTAGAGATTATTTTAGATAGAATATTGTATTTGAATAAAATGTAGATATTTTACTAAATTGAAACAATTTTAAAACAAAATTTCAATATTTTATAGTTCATTAAACCACATAAAGCAAGAAATCTAGGTTAACACTGAATAGTATATGTGATCACAAAATACGATAAATATTTTAATTAAAAATAAGTTAGAGTTAAAGACTTAAAATACTCCCTTTCACTTGGAACACATTTATCCACTGTTCTTGTAACATTCTGAAGCAATCCTGGCCACTTTCCTGAGTGTCTTTACTTATGTTTTCCTAGCTGCCTAGAGGTCCTGAATCAATTCAAAAATCTTCATTATTCATTGTCACTTTGACTTTGAGGAAGAGGCAGAATTTAAACAGTGCCAAATCTAGTGAATGAGATGGATGGGAATGTACCATAATGTTTTCATAAGACTGCTTTTCCATTGGGTGATACTTGGAATAAGTGGCATTCAGAACATTTTGCTCATAATTTATGAAGAGACTCATTCAAGTGAACTTCAAAAACTGCCTCAGAAAGTGGTGAGAGTGATGAGGTAAGTGTGTAAGAAGTGAAACAGAATATTTTAAGGGAATTTAATGACACTATGTCCTTTACTCTAATACATTTAAATATTTTAATACCCACTGTATATTTTCATCATACCTTATATTCTACAGTAATTTATTTAAAATAAATTTTTGTCTTTATGTTTGATATTTTCCTTCTTATTTGTATCTCTGACTATTGGTTGCCCATATATCTATGATTCTTCCATCATGAAGAAACAATTATGTATTTTGATATTTTCATTGTGGTGACTGCAATTCTGAGTTTACATGTATTGGCATGTGTAATAATCCTAAATTGTTAGACTTGTGGTTTAGAGCAAACACCGATAATACACAATTATATTCATTCTTATTCAGGATCAATGGATTCAGAAGCAGAGCATCTCAGCAGAGCATTCCTGTGACTTACTCTCCACTGGTAGATGTGGAACTGACCAAAGATTTATCCTCCATTCCCAGTATCATTTCACCATCTTTTTCAGTAGCTGTAAGAGCCCAAATTTATATGAGGGCCGCATGATTAATATGGTTTCAGATATGTTGTATTAGTGTACTAATATGATATAATGCATTGCTTTTAGTAGTATGCGGGTCACTTACTAAATGAGGTGCACTCAGTGTGCAATACATACGCTCTCTTCCTTTGTCAAAGTCCATCTTTCCACTGTGATGGATTGGAAATTAGCTCACTCGACATTTATGGCATTTGAATCCTGGAAATTCTTGGTTTATGTTTTCATTGTCCCACTTACTAATGACCTTAGATAAATGATTCTGTAAATCTTATTTTATTAATCTGTAGAGATGGATAAAGTCATAAAATCAAACTTACATGGCTTTATTGACAACAAAATAGGATGCTACAGGTATGAGGTGCCTAATAAAATGTGTTGACAGTGGGGCTTTACTGTCACCTTAAATCATTTCTCATTATTATTATCCATAGGTGTACTTCTTGATATTAATGTATTTTGGTTCTTTTTTGTGGTACCAAGAATTGAACTCACAACCTTTTACTTGCCAAGCAGGCAATGTGACACTAAGCTACATGCCTAGCTCATTCTTGGTATTGATATAATATTTCCTTAAAAACCCAACATCTTATTAACAGTACATGAAACAAATCTATCACTCTAGAAGGGACCACATGAACTGGACACAATCCACTTAGTCTGAGGCAAATGGAACTCTATAACTCAAATATAATCTCTCAAATTACAAAGAAAACAAAAAAAACTGTCATTTTTGAGTGCAGATGAATATACAGGTAGAACAATATTTATATCCCTACTCACCAGCCTAGAGAACAAAGGCACCCCTGGATCTTCCAGCTAATAAGAGTCACAGCTATTTCCAAGAAATCACTAATGACTACATGCATCTGGTTCTGAAATGATGGCTGTCCATGCCCTTATCTGCAGGTACATTGCAGCCTCAGTGGGGAGTCAGCATTCCTTCTCTATGGGGATAGCTGAACCATGTGGAGCCTGGCTCTTTTATCTGTGCTACATCTTTAAGAATAACTGATATAAATTCCAGAAAGTCTCGTCCATGTTGGCTGCTCTGATTTGCCCCACTTCTCTGAACCTTTATGGGAAAGGAACCAGAAAATATGAAATAGGACCTGGGATTCCTTCCCAAGGGCAGCGTCCTACCGAGTCCTGCAGTGTCAGGCTGGCCTACCTGCCAAGCATCCCTGTGTGTGTGCTTATCCAGGAGAACCCTTTATGAAGAGGAGGTAGCTCCCCAGAGAAGGTGTCCCAGGTCAAGCTGTTGAGGGACTAAGATTCTCTGAGCACTTGAGTCACAGATCTGAAGCCCGCTGGTTGAAACCTACATCTAGCAAACCGGAACCAGGAGGTATTGTATCTCACGGATACACAAATTGTTTACGAGATTCATCTTCATTTCCAGCTTTTATATCCATCAACTTTCAATAATTATGTTAATTATGGTCTTCTTAAATGTGGCATGTAGTTTGTTTTTTACATATATGTTTAACCACATTTCTTTCAGTTTCCTGACCAAATAGCTGCACTTACTAATTTATATAATATCATTTTGAATTATATAACATGGGAACAACCAAAGTTGTCTTAAGATTTGGTTATTTTGTAGCTATTTCTATATAATAAATCTTAACTGACAGATTAAGGAACTTATCTTGGAAATCAAAAACTCATTTCAAATTTTGTGCAATACATATAACAGGGGCTGGAGATTTAGCTCAGAGGCACAGCACCTGCCTGGCAAGCAGAAGGTCGTGAGTTTGGTTCCTGGTACCAGAAAAAAAAACAAAAAAACAAAAAAGAAATCCTAATACATATAGGGGATATGACTATGTGCATGTTGTATCTTGACTTATTATGAGGTGTTAAGTACATAAAAACCAAATATAGCCGCTGAAAAATAGAAGTGGTGAGGATACACTAAATGCTACTTTAGTAATAAAATTGTTTCTTATTTCAGTGTCCGTGAGCTTATAAAATCACGTGAGATTCTCCTTGTTTTCTTACTGTTAAGTGACAAATTTTCAGATTTATCGTTCTTATACACAGATTATTTATATTGCAGAATTTCTTTCTATAATATGTTCTGTAGATTTTTAATATTTCAAATTGTATATTTTAATTAACATGTTGGAAAAAAGGCACTTGCCTGCCACTTTACAATTTTACTTATATTAACCATGTTAATATTTATATATTACATTAAAGTTATATTATGCTCTTTTTCAGAAAGTTTAAAGTACTTATTGTAAAATCAATTCTGTCAATATAGGGAAATATAGTGCACATTCACTTTTTATTCATAGGTCTATTAAATATTTTATTACAACACTGCTAAAGAAAAATTTCGGTTTCTGTGTTTTTTGTACAAGGGATTTTTTGGTTTTGTTTTTAATTTACTCAACAATGTCATCTTTACTTGCTGCTTGATTTCATTAGCTCTGAACATTAGTTTTATGCAACAATTTCTCTTTTCCTCTGTCCATTTTCACTTTTCATTGAGCATCCTGAAGCCAGGCCATGTGGCAAGATACCATTATAAAATTGACTGGAAAACAAATATCGACAAAAAATAAAAAAACAGTACGTATCTCTACAATTTTTCTGAAACTCTACACTTGTAAGCTTTCAGTAGGATTTTTCTCTGGTAAAAAAGGGAATTTACCTGCCTCCTATCCATCCACGTGGCCATGATTAAAGTATCTGTCTCTTCAGACTGAAGTGTTATAATGTCTTCTCTGCACCTGTGGCCCATTTCCTCTTTGCTATACACTCTATTCCAAACTATATCATTGCCTCAATTTCCTCAGCAATACAATGGGTAACTAAGTAGTGAGTATTTCTGAATGCAGATGTAAGAATTGAGCAGCTTAATGCAAATTACTGAAACTGTAGTTGGCTTATAAAATGTATGCTATCAATGCTTACTATTATCATTATGCCTGTCAATTATTAACTTCTTGTGTTTCTCCATGCCATTCTATTTTAGTTATCATCTAATTGTGGTCCTATGTGCTTTATAGTTGGAAGTGTACTAATATTGAATATGTTTCATTTTATATTTGTGTTACACTTTCTCACTATTATAAGTTTAAAATATTTACAAATCCATACAGAGGATGCCATCTTCCCCAGGTATAGTATTGCAATTTTGGTAGTAAAGGCCAAGATACACTTAGTCTTATGTTAGATTCTTGATCTCTGAAGTCCAAATTTCATAATTTATTCACGAACGGTCTAATTATCCTCTCTCCGATCTGCTTAGTTCTGACACCATAAATAACAGGGTTCAGAGCGGGTGGGATGACAACATAAAAGTTGGCCAGAAGAATGTGGATGTACTGAGGAACATTTCGGCCAAAGCGGTGGGTCATAAAGGAGAAAAATGCTGGAGTATAGAAGGACAACATGACGCAGACGTGGGAGCCACAGGTGCTGAGTGCCTTTAACCGCGCATCTCTAGAAGGTAGGCGAAAGACAGCACGTAGGATCTGGACATAGGACAAGATGATTGCTATGATATCAAGCACCAGGAGAGAGATGGCACATAAGCTGTAGATGATGTTGACCTTGATGCTGGCACAAGCTAGGCGGGCAATGCCCATGTGCTCACAGTATGTGTGGGGAATGATTTGATGTCCGCAGAAGGGCAGTCTTAGGATGAGCACCACAAAGGAAACTGCGATAGCCAAGGGTCTCAGGAGGATGATCAAAGCTATGGCTGACACCACCTTGTTTGTCAGGACCAACATGTAGTGCAGAGGGTTACAAATGGCCACATAGCGATCATAGGCCATGGCCACAAGCACAGCTGACTCCATGCCCGTGCACAGGTGGATGAAGAACATCTGGATGAGGCACCCCTCAAAGGAGATTTCCCTCAGTTTGAGCCAGAAGATGCCGAGCATCTTGGGGATGGTGGATGTGGACAGACCCAGGTCGATGGAAGACAAAATGGCCAGGAAGTAGAACATGGGCTGGTGGAGGCTGCCTTCAGTCTGAATCACATAAATGATGGTAACATTTCCCAGAAGAGCAGTCAAATACACAACACAAAATGGAAAGCCAATCCACACATTGACTTCTTCAAGGCCTGGGATTCCCAGAAGAAGGAAACTGTAGGGATGAAACTGTGTGTTACCAGGAGAAACCATTCTTTTATGTCTCTTTTATAGCTGGACAAATAATAAACCTGTCATTCAGTGAGATACTCCAGTTCTGCAATGCAATTGATTCCCTATATAATTATATAAAAACATACCTTTTCATTTCTAATAACCAAGCCCATCATAACATAATTGCATGACATTTATGAAAGTTGAACTCCTTGCTCCTATTGTTTCATTTCAATAAACTAATTAGAGTATTTCACTTATTTAGGTATTAACACAGTGTAATAAAATTTTAGAAGAACCGACTGAATATCAAAGAAAGGGCAATATTTGGTATACAGAGAATGATCATGCACAGTTAACCTTATTAAATAAGTTTTATATAGCTTCAATGTTTAAAAAATCACAGTAAATAATATGATCTTGATTAGATTTTAATATGTATATTTTGCTTTCTATTTTAGCTGATAAACATCTCATAATGAAGTGAACCACTTTGAGGTTTTTCTTTTTTGGAGTACCAGAAATCAAGCTTACAATCTTCTACTTGCCAGGCAGGAGCTGTGCCCCTGAGCTGTTTCCCTAGTCCTTGAACTGAACTAATTTGGAGGAAGAATTTGCCTACAATCACACTAAAAGTTTCAAACCCTTTTATAGATGCCACTTAGTCATAAATGACACACTTCCCCTTTAAGTAGGTCCTATAGCGTACATAAAATATACTATTTGAAAATAAAATTTATATAGTAGAAATAACATTAGCATTATTTTTATGGTTGTGAGTTGAAAACAGCATAGGACACAGAGATGAAATTATAATAATATGCTTCATAGCATCATTAGAAATAGAATTCCAGATAGACTCTGGGCTAGTATATGAGGAAAGCAAGTTTCATCATTTTACATGGTGTTAAGTTTAAATTGATGTGGCATAAGTTTATGTGTAGGTTGTGGGAGATTGTAAAGCATATAAAAATTCAAAACAATTATGCTAAATATTGTCAACCCGCCTTTACAAATGTGGAATATAATGTATATTCTTAATCAATGTCATTGTTATTTCATATTTCATCACAGGAATATCTGATCCTAAAATTCTTATTAGCTACAAATTCTGTTCAGGGCCACTCATCTTCCGCCATTTTCCCCAGACTTTAATCAGCAGACACACTTGTTTCAGCTTTGAAATCTCAGCTCTAACTTTCTCTCAAACTGTACATTGTATTTTTTCCAACCCTCTCAGGTCCTTTTCCTTCCACACCTGGTGTCATGTCACATCCTGTTGTGTACCCTGTGCTACAGTTTTGCTCAAAATAATTTATTGCTTAGGAGTTTTAACTTCTTCAGCTCTTCTATAGCTTTTATTTTTTATTAACTACTGTCCCTTATTCATTAGTCACACTTGTCTCCAAAAAACATACTAAAGAATTTCTACACACAATCTTCTTTCACACCTCTGGTTGCTGAATAAAAGTTACAAAATTATAGAAATGAAATCTTCTTCAGAAAGAGCATTTATATGTGAAAGTACTTTCTTGTATCTTTGTTTCCTTAAGAGATATGTTCAACTTGTACTTTTATCACATTGAAATATACATAAAGCTTTACTTTTAAACTATCAACACTTTCTCATCTTGTTTCTTATTTTTTTTTTCTAGTACCAGGAATCGAACTCATGACCTTGCGCTTGACAGGCAGGTGCTGTGCTGCTGAGCTAAATCCCCAGCCCCTTTCCTCAGCTTTTTTCCTAAAAATGTTATGAATATACTACATGCAACACTTCCATTCTTTCCATTCTTCTTTAGAAGGACAGTTCTTTTTAAAGCTTCAATTTAATACTTTGTGTTTTCTTCTCATCTCCTTTTAAATCTTCAGATGCTGCTCTTTATAATGTTTCTCCATAGATTGATGTAGTTAGTAGATAGATAGATAGATACTTAAATATATTATATATACATACACATATATTCTTAAGATTTTTTAATTGGAAAATTCTTAATATGACTTACAATGTTGTAGCCATTTCTTTTAATTTTATTCAGTAATCAGAAAACTATTAAAAGTATAAACTTTTTCTTCAAAATTAAGTATCTTTTGTCAAGGATATTGATTATGCCTTTTTATTCACATGGCTGGAATATTTATATTCCTATTTCAAAATAAAAAGTGTTTATCCTTTCTCTAGAGGTGTAAGTGGGAAAAATTTGCTTCATTCTATTTTTATGTTCTACTCAAATAAAAAATATACCCATTAGAATCTCTCAATTGTAATAAATCAAAATACCACACCTAGAATATGATAAATATAACAATAATAGTAGGTTAATATAGATTTCTTCAGGATTTTCATGTGTCAGGATATAATCTTAGAAAGGAAAAGGTAGGAAAAATCTTTAGTAGTGTTGAATTAAGCAAAACATTTTTTTCCTTTGTAGGCTATAGATGTTCAGATATTCTCAGAATCCTAATTATCCTCCAGTTTTCAAACTAAAAATTTCCATGTATTTACAACTGTTGTGGAAAAGTATCCACTGATCTTGCAATATTTCATTTTTCCCCTTCCATAGCAAGAAGAGTAAATAAAGCAATCAAAGGCTTTTCTGTCTACTAAACTGTGATGGTATGGGAAGAGGGTAAACAAAAAAAGTAACATTAGAAGAGAGAAGAGGAAGTGAATTATGCTGTTCATAAGCACCCCAAATCTGTAATTTAGAGACAAGATTATATGAAGGATATTTTTCCGTGTAATTCAAATTTTTATTTTTTAAGAGAATAAAAAATAATTAAAAAGACATTAGAAATTATACAGAAATTCACTAACCAAGATGATAGGAATTCAACAATATTGCATATTGAAGGAACAACTGGGATGAGGGAAAGGAGAAAATAAAGAAATAAGGAAGGGGAAAATAAATATATAATTCAAATTTAAGTAGTCAAATTGATTTTGTGATGTGTGATAATGAATGAAGTCTAGGTTTTGGATGTAAGACAGATGCTGCTAAAATGGCAACTTCATTTTTTTGAAGCTGACAGTGTTTCATAGATTTCATTTACCTGGATAATGACTTCTTCATGTACACCATTCAAAGCACATAACATTCGTGTTTAATTCAGAATTATAAATGAGTATGAACAATGTATTATAAGGACAGCATAAAGCAAGAAATTTTAGTGAAATAAATGCTAAATTACTTAAATTTTATGCATACTGTTTTATATTGATATTGTAGTATATGTGTTCACATCCAAATACAAAATAAAGAAGACTGTGAAACTGATATTTATATAAAATATTGCTTAAGGCTGGGTGTGGTGGTGCACACCTATAATCCCAGCACTCGGGAGGTTGAGGCAGGAGGACTGTTGTGAGTTCGAGACCAACATGGGCTACAAAGAGAGCTCAAAGCCAGCCTGAACTGCATAGTGAAACCCTGTCTCAAACATACAAAAAATATTGCTTAAATACCTCAATTAAAAATTTATAATTGGTTTTGAAATGATGTGTTTTTTATTTCAACAATAACTGGGAATTGAAGGATTCTCAATCTGGTAGTTTGTATCAATCACCATGTTCAATGAACGCTGTGTTACAAAACATTCATCTTGTGAGTAAACTTGAAAGGCAAGGAATACTCAGACTTAAAGTTCTGCAAGAAAGACATGCTTTGATGATGCTTAAGAAAAGGCAGTGGAGTCTGGTCTGAAATTAAAGATACAACTAGTGTTTATCAGAGGTTGAGGAGATAAAGCACATGTTGGTGAAGGAATGCCTAAATGTTGTGGGGTGAAGATGTGTAGAAGGGCTCACCTCTGATGATCCATGGCACAGTAGGCCTATGCTTCTGTTGCTATGTCCATTACTGTTGATGACAAATATATATTTCAAAATAGCTAGTAGCTATATTTTCCATGAATCTAACACAAAGGAGTAATCAGTGTTTGAGGAGATGTGCTGGATATTTCAATTGCCCTGATCTAATCATTACAATTGTATATATATTGACATGCCAAACTGTACCCACTAAATATTTGCAATTGTTATGTTAATTAAAATAATATATATACTAAGAAAATGGACAAAGTGAACTGGACAACACATAAAGACTTGGAGAAAAACAATTATATGGCATTATTTTTTAAGTGCATGTATTGTTTAATTTCATTTTTATTTTCCTCTGTGACCCATTGTTCGTTCAGAAGGGTGTTATTTAATTTTCATGTGTTAATGTAGTTTTTGTGGTTTCCTTTGTTTTTGAATTCCAGTTTCATTACACTGTGGTCAGAGTATGCATGGGATGTTTTCATTTTCTCTACTACTCAAACATGTTTTGTCAGCTAATATGTGATCTGTTCTGGGGAACATCCCATGTGCAGCTTAGAACAATGAATATTCTGTAGACATCTACCAAGTCCATTTATTCACAGGCTTGGTTTAATTCTAATATTTCTTCATTAATTTTTGGCTAGCTGATCTATCCATTTGTGAGAGTGGTGTATTAAGGTCACCCACTACATTTGCATTAGTGTTTATTTGGTTTTTCATGTCAGTTAATATTTCTTTTATGTAGTTGAGTGAACTTATGTTTGGTGCATAAATTTTTATGATTGTTATCTCATCTTCATGGAGTTTTCCTTCAATGAATATGTAGTGATACTCTTTGCCTCTTTTGATGAGTTTTAGCTTGATTTCGCGTTGTCTCCAAATAGAATAGTTACCCATTTTTTTCTGAGTTCCTGTGGCATGGAGAATTGTTTTCCATCCTTTGACTTTTAGTCTATGGATTTCTTTTTGGGTTACATGTCTTTCTTGAATGCAACATATTGTTGGATCTTGTTCTTGACTTGTTCTGCAAATCTGTTTCTTTTGACTGGTGAGTTGAGGCCATTTATGTTGATGGTTATAACTGATATGTATGGGCTTTTCTTTTTTCTGTTGCTTCCTTGTTATTTGTTCCTTGTTTTTATGCTTGGTTTAATTGATTTTTCTGCCTGGAGTCTTCTTTCTGTTGGTATTCCTGCATTTTTGGTCTGCATTATCT